TGTTTGAAATCATATATTGCCAATATTGAAATAATAAACAGAGAATATAAATAGATTTATAAAAGCATTTGAGGTAATTGTTAAAAACTTTCCAACAAAGAAAAAATCAGCCTGAGGTGGCTTCACTGTGGAATTCTGTCAATGAATTAAGGGGAAAAAGAGCCCCAATATTACACAAACTTTCAGAAAATTGAAAAGGTAGGGACACTTCAGAATATATTTTGTAAGGTCAACATTATGCTGGTACCAAAACCTGGCAAAGACATTGGCAAAAATGAAAATCTCAGACCAGATTTCTCATGAACATGGATGTAAAAAATCTTCAACAAAATATTTTTGGCTTGAATCCAGCATTATATAAAGAGGGTAATTCACTATGGCTAAGTGGGATTTATCCTAGGAATGCGAGATTGGTTTAGCACTTGAAAATCAATTAATGTAACTCATCACATTAAGCAAATACATGGTTTTTAAAAACCTTGTTGTTCAGTTGCTAAGTCATGTCTGACTTTTTGTGACCCCATGGACTGCAGCACGCCAGGTTCCCCTGTTCTTCACTATCTCCCAGAGTTTGCTCAAATTCATGTCCATTGAGTCAGTGATGCCATCTAACTGTTATGTCATTCTCTGTTGCTTTCTTCTCCTTTTGCCTTCAGTCTTTCCCAGCATCAAGGTTTTTCTAATGAGTCAGCTCTTCCCATCAGGTGGCTGAAGTATTGGAGCTTCAGCTTTAGCATCAGTCCTTTCTATGAATATTCAGGATTGATTTTTCTTTAGAGTTGACTGGTTTGATCTCCTTGCTGTCCAAGGGACTCTCAAGAGTCTTATGCAGCACCACAGTTTGAAAGCATTGATTCTTCAGCACTCAGCCTTCTTTATGGTCCAACTCTCACATCCATACATGACTACTGGAAAAACCACAGCTTTGACTATCCAGACCTTTGTTGGCAAAGTGAAGTCTCTGCTTTTTATATTCTGTCTAGGTTTTTCATAACTTTCCTTCCAAGGAGCAAGTGTCTTTTAATTTTATGGCCGCAGTCACCATCAACAGTGATTTTGGAGCCAAGAAAGTAAAATCTGTCACTGTTTCCACTTTTTCTCCTTCTATTTGCCGTAAGTGATGGGATCAGATGCCATGATCTTTGTTTTTTGAATGTTGAGTTTTTTTTTTTTTTCATTTATTTTTATTAGTTGGAGGCTAATTACTTTACATCATTGCACTGGTTTTTGTCATATATTGAAATGAATTAGCCATGGATTTACATGTATTCCCCATCCTGGTCCCCCCTCCCACCTCCCTCTCCACCCGATCCCTCTGGGTCTTCCCAGTGCACCAGGCCCGAGCACTTGTCTCATGCACCCAACCTGGGCTGGTGATCTGTTTCACCCTAGATAATATACGTGTTTCGATGCTGTTCTCTTCCAACTTTTTCACTCTGCTCTTTCACCTTCATCCAGAGGCTCTTTAGTTCCTCTTCACTTTCTGCAATAAGAGTGGTATCATTTGCATATTTGAGGTTATTGATGTTCCCCCGGCAGTCTTGATTCCAGCTTGTGATTCATTCAGCCCAGCATTTCGCATGATGTACTCTGCATATAAGTTAAACAAACAGAGTGACAATTTACAGTCTTGTGTTACTCCTTTCCCAATTTTGAACCAATCCATTGTTCCATGTTCTGTTCTAACTGTTGCTTCTTAACCTGCATACAGGTTTCTCAGGAGACAGGTAAAGTGGTATGGTTTAAGAATTTTCCACAGTTTGTTGTGATCCACACAGTCAAAGGCTTTAGCATAGTCAGTGAAGCAGAAGTAGATGTTTTATTTCCTGGAATTTCCTTGCTCTCTCTGTGATCCAACAAATGTTGGCAATTTGATCTCTGGTTCTTCTGCCTTTTCTAAATCCAGTTTGTATATCTGGAAGTTCTGAGTTTACATACTGTTGAAGCCTAGCTTGAAGGACTTTGAGCATAACTTTACTAGCAGGAGAAATGAGCACAATTATACAGCAGTTTGAACATTTTTTGCCCTTCTTTGGTATTGGAATGAAAACTGACATTTTCCAGTCCTGTGGCCACTGCTGAGTTTTCCAAATTTGCTGGCACATTGTGTACAGCATTTTAGCATCATCTTTTAGGGTTTGAAATAACTCAGCTGAAATTCCATCACTTCGTCTAGTTTTGTTTGTAGTGATGCTTCCTAAGGCCCACTTGATCTCACACTCCAGGATATCTAGCTCTAGATATGACCACACCATCATGGTTATCTGGGTCATTAAGACTTTTTTGTATAGTTCTTCTGTGTATTCTTGCCAACTTTTCTTAATCTCTTTTGCTTCTGTTCGGTCTTTACTGCTTCTGTCCTTTATCATGCCCGTCCTTGCATAAAATGTTCCCTTGGTATCTCCAGTTTTCTTGAAGAGATCTCTAGGCTTTCCCGTTATATTGTCTTCCTCTACTTCTTTGTGTTGCTCATTGAAGAATACCTTCTTATCTCTTCTTGCTATTCTCTGAAACTCTGCATTTAGTTGGGTATATCTTTCCTATTCTCCCTTGCTTTTGGCTTGTCTTCTTTCCTCAGGTATTTTAAAGGCCTCCTCATACAACCGCTTTGCCTTTTTGCATTTCTTTTTCTTTGGGATGGTTTTGGTCACCGCCTCCCGTACAGTGTTATGAACCTCCATCCCATAGTTCTTCAGGCACCCTGTCTACCAGATCTGACCCTTGAATCTATTTGTCATCTCCACTGTACAGTCATAAGGAACTTGATTTTTAGGTCATACCTGAACGGCCTAGTGGTTTTCCCTACTTTCTTTTTTTGTTTTTTTATTTTATTTTATTATTTTTTTCCCATTTATTTTTATTAGTGGGAGGCTAATTACTTTACAGTATTGTAGTGGTTTTTGCCATACATTGACATGAATCAGCCATGGATTTACATGTATTCCCCATCCCGATCCCCCCTCCCTCCCTACTTTCTTCAATTTAAACCTGAATTTGCCATAAGAAGCTCATGATCTGAGCCACAGTCAATCATCTTAATTGATTTGGAAAATCAGTTAGAAAATTCAACATCCATTCGTGATAAAAATTCTAAGCCAACTAAGACTACAAGGGAACTGTCCCAACCACTATGGGAAGGTTTTGGACAGTTTCTTAAAAAGTGAAACATATGCCTCCCCCTGACCTAACAAATTAACTTCTAGATATTTTCCCAAAGAAAAAGTCAGTCTCTCAAGCAGTCTCTCTCTCTGTCTCTTCACCCCACACTTCCCCCTTTCTTTGTTTCTTTCTCCACAAAATTACTTAAATAAAACATCCTTAGAGCAATTCTATTCAGAATACCCACCCCAAACTGACAACATTTCAAACATCTCTCAAAAGGAGAATGTAGTAACAATTTGTAGTTATTCATCTAGCAGAATACTACTCAGTAATAAAAAAGAGTGACTTGTTACATACAACATAGCTGGGTCTTGAAACCATTATGTTGAGGGAAAGAAGCCACTCATAAAGGAATAATACACAATCACATTATATATAAAGTTTAGGAATAGGTAAAATTAACATATGATGATAGACATCAGCAGAACCTTTGCCCTTGAGGACACATGGATTTCTAGAAAGGGACACAGTAGAACTTCCTGAGGTGACTGGAGTATAATAAATCTTATTCCAGCATATACATATATCAAAACTCCAAGAACTGTAACTTAGGGGCTGTGCACCTCTAAGTACATTTTACCTCAGCAAAAACATAAAATAATGTTAACAAAATAAAATATAGGTGGGGTCGAATTGCATGACTGAAACCATCATTTTTCTCAGTGAGAAATTTTGATCTTAAATGAATCATTTGGATTTTTAAAACTTATTTTGTTCTGTTTGGCAAAGGGCTTCATTTGTTTATTAACCTGCTGGGCTGTCCTGACAAAATTTCACAGAGTGGCGTAAACAACAGAAATTTGTTTTCTCACAGTTCCAGAGGCTGGCAGTCTGAGGTCAGGGTGCCGGAATGGATGGTGTCTGGTGAGAGCTGTCTCCCTGGCTTGCAGATGGCTGCCTCCCCGTGTGTCCTCACATGGCCGAGGAATAGCAAACTCCCTCTTGTCTTTTTTTATGAGAACGTTAATGCTCTCACGAGAGCACCACCCTCATGGCCTCATCTCACCCTACTACCTCCAAAAGAACCCATCTCCAGATACCAGCATGTTACTGGTGAGGGCTTCAACATATGAATTTGAAGGACACAATTCAGTTCGCAGCTGTATATATTCTAGAAAATCTGGACAATACAGGTAATTGGAAAAAACAAAAAGCCATGTAGTCCAGTTATGCAAATATAGTCACTGTTAACATCCCAATGTCTTTTTCTTTCCAAAGTTTTGTTATTTCAACTATTATGTGGTTGTAGTCATTCTGTACCTATAGTCTTATATCACGATCTTTTAAATTACGACGTGAAATTTTTTCTGTGTGACTCAAATCCCTTTTTAAGTACTTCTTTTTAATAGCCACGAAAGGTTCTGCTGAATGTGCTGTAGTTTACATATTCGTTATCCTGTGGTCGAATGTTGAAAGACTCTCCAGTATCCTGCTAGTGTAAATAATGCTGTGATAAATACATTTGTCCAAGAGGCTTTTTCTGTACCTCGGATTGCTTCCTTGGGGTAGAATTTCAGAAAATGGAAATTGTAGGTTTAAAGGGTATGCTCTAATTAGATGTTGCCAAATTCCTTGCCAAAAAGATGTCCTACTTTGCACTGCCCCCAGGAGCAGGGCAAGAAGGGGCTTTATCTGTTTGCTCTTAAGGGGCTGAGGTCGTTTCCACTGATGTGTTTCTTGGCCTGTTTCCACAGGTAAAAACAGACAGCTGTAGCTGACTTGTGGGGGACTCCCTTGGGTCGTCTGGCCCAAGACCCTACCACCCCCTCCTGCAGCCTGTCTTCCAGGCCTCACCTGGACCGCCCGCGTGGGAACAGGCCGTCTCGTCCATCGCAGCCATGAATTTCCTGCGTCGGCGCCTCTCTGACAGCAGCTTCGTGGCCAACCTGCCAAACGGCTACATGGCGGACCTGCAGCGCCCAGACAGCTCCACCAGCTCCCCTGCGTCCCCCGCCATGGAGAGGAGGCACCCTCAGCCCCTGGCAGCCTCCTTCTCCTCTCCAGGGTCCAGCCTCTTTAGCTCCTTCTCCAGTGCCGTGAAGCAGACCTCACAGGCCCCCTCGGGGCTGATGGAGCCTCCGGCCCCCTCCACGCCTATTGTTCAGAGGCCCAGGATCCTGCTGGTGATCGATGATGCCCACACAGACTGGTAAGCAGCAATCTGCAGGTGCCCCCAGCTAGGGGCAGGAGGGGAGACGGGGCTTATCTCACTCTTGGGGAAGAGAGGGGGGAAGAGCTGTGAGAGACTCTGTGGTATCAGAGACTGGCCGGAGGGAAGGGCGTTAATGGCAGGCACCACAGCAGCTACTTTTGCCACACTGTGTCCAAAGGGCTTTATATTTAAGGTCTGCAGTCTCTTACCTGCAAATCCAAAACCGAAAAAGCTCACTAGAAGATATTTTGTGGCCCATCTGCTAGCAAAGCCTGATCAGAAAGAAAGTGAGACTGTGATAGTCTTCACGGAACCACTCACTGTGCTTGTTCATATGATTTGCCGTAAACTTCTTGATACATTTGACATGGGGTACTGCCCAGGGCCCACAGGAAGTATTATATAATATATGGTATATGTACTACATTAATTTCCTAATAATAGAAAGCTTTAAAAAATCTGAAATAACTGTGGTAAGTTGCTTAACCTCTTTGAGCTTCAGCCATGCTCTCTCATTGAGTGAGGTTGCTATGAGGGTAAAAGAAACCAACAGAAGTCCACAGTCCTTAATCTGAAGGGACCAGAGTGCCTGAGTTTGCATTCCTACTCTTCCATGGACTGGCAGTCTGGTTCCAGAACCTGTCTTAACAGGACAGCAAACATGGGCAGAAATGATATCCCTTCCAGGCTCTTCCTAGGTACTCCCCATCCTGATAGATGGTCAGCATCCTGGCTGGAGGGACAGAGACTGGACACTTGACAAGGTCATTGTAGCAGTGGCTCCACAGGTGGTCACTGAGCGCTGATGAGTGCCAGTAGCAGCCTGCAGTTCAGATCAGTCACTCTGTCGTGTCTGACTCTTTGCGACCCCATGAACTGCAGCACACCAGGCCTCCCTGTCCATCACCAACTCCCGGAGTTCACCCAAACTCATGTCCATTGAGTCGGTGATGCCATCCAGCCATCTCATCCTCTGTCGTCCCCTTCTCCTCCCACCCTCAATCTTTCCCAGCATCGGGGTCTTTTCAAACGAGTCAGCTCTCACCACAGCCTCAGGTACTCAGATAAGTAATGAACAGGCCCCGCACACAGGAAGCTGCATGCGGGTGGAAAAGAGGTCTCCATTTGAAATTTTTGGTAGAGCAGATAGGTATTATCAGTCCAATTGGAGACACAGAATTTGCAGTCCAGGAAGTGAACCTAAATATGGAGACATGGAGGCACCCCATTTAGGGCAGTTCTGGCCACGGACCCATGGATGGCCCTGGGGGCTGGAGGACAAGGTTCCCTGTGTGTGTCTCCAAAAGCTACCACAGAGTAGGCACAGAGTCAGCATCCAGGAAGCGTGTATGACATGAACCAATTAATATAATCCGTTCACTGATCATGTCCCTGCTCTCTCATTCTAACATGGATGTGTGTGCTCACATTCATTCCTTGAAAAGTGAACTCAGGTCGGGAATGGTTGAGCCTGTACTTTGGAGTGGGAGGTGATTATAGTTTATAACATTCAATGCAGTCAACATTAAAGCATGTTCAGTAGGTTCAGACTTTAGCCTTTATTTTCCTGCTGTGGAATCACTTCATCTTAACCAGGGTGGTCGGGTGCCTGGCCTCTGTTCTGATCCATTCTGAGTTGTTTTCAGTGATGCTTGAAGGGTGTTCGTCTCTGCCTGTGAGGTTATGCAGAGCATCATATTTAGGTTCTGAGCCAAGGGGCTGATTTCTGCAGAGGTGCTGGTTTCACGCACCCATGCTGCCCATCTGCCCGGTACTCAGAATGCCTGCATGGCCTCTGCAGTCCTCTGTTTCTCTTTAACCCAACTTGACCTTGATTTTGAATGTTCTCTGTTGACTGCATCACTCCGGTTCAGGCAGGGTTTGCCATAATATGGTCTTGGGAAGGGGTATTTGTCAGAAACGTTACTTTTTGTGCGTATCCTGAGCTAATAAATGGCAACAAGGTGAAGTGGTTAAGGATTCAGACTTCAGAGCTATCTGGATTCAAGTCTCTACACCATAATAGCTATATGATCTTGGAAAGTTACTGCACCTAAATGGTAAAATAGTACCTACCTGTAGAGTTAATTTATGTAAGTACGGTTGAAATCTGAATTACTGTAAACGTGTTTAGGATGTATCTAGTAGACAGTAAGTGCTATTTAATTGCATATTATTATTGCAGACTATTGTGACCTTTTGTGCAATATTAATCATCTTGACTGCAACCCCTGTAGGCATACTTTTTAAATTTCTTTATGCCCAATATTAGGCAGAATAGATTAGGATTTACCCCCACTGTGCTATGGTTTTCTAATGGTCAATCTTGGCTATTAGCTCTCAGGTGATAAAGTTGAGTCTTACTAATTAATCTCTGTCTGTCTCCCAACCCAGTGCCCATATGATGTGTAGTTTAGTGTAGGCACAAAGCTAAGGAGACTGAAATGCCATAAATTACCTTAGCCAAGTAACATTTGAATTTTGACTTTGGTCTTCAATCTCTCTAATATGCAGGAGTGACCAGTGTGTGAATTTTAGTCTGGGCACCCTGGTGGGGGACACAGGTTTTGGCTAGAGGAATTTCTCCCGGTCTGTTTCAATCATGCTTCATGTGCCCACAGGTTCATTAGGGGTTGAGGACAGCAGGCCACTGTTCCTGCCTCTCAGAGGGTTAAAAGTGGAAAAGTGAGAAACAGGATCTTTATAACGTCACCTGAAGGTTAGCTGTGCATTCATTGGATGTTTGTGACAGAGACTTCCCACCCACACATAACCGCTTCTCATACAGAACTCATCCTAGATGCTGTAAGAACTTGAGACCATTTCCAAATACATGCCCAACTTTCAAAATTGATGCCGGCTGCCTTAGAACCCCGATTTCTTCCCTGCCGAGTTCCCGAAGGATACCTGTCGTCCTCCCATACCAGCAGCGGCCAGCAGGTGGCGGGCTAGCCCCAGCGTCCCTGGGCAGTTCTGGCAGAGTCTGGCTGCCTCTGGGGTCAGCCCCCTGCCCAGCGCCTCCTTCATTGTGCAGACTGTCTCCTGAGAGGAAGAAGCTGTTGAAGAGGGAGAAGCCAGCTCACACAGCCCCTTTCTTCCTCCTTTGAGATGGTAATGAGAGGGGGAGATGATCCACGTCTGGACTGAGCCTGAACCCACCAGGGACAATGTGGCTCCCTTTTCTCCCTGTCAGCCTGTTACTTCCCTCTGTCAGCCCTTTCCTAGTCCAGGACCCTGCTGCAGAATCAGGTTTCCTAGAGGGTGAGGGAGTTACAGGAACCTCCCCTTCTTGCTTCCTGACAGAGGCCAGCTTGCAGACTCTCGGAACCAGCCTGGGCCCCCCAAGGAGGAATGATACCTGGCCAGTGGCCAGGGGGCAGTGAGGGAGAGGAGGACTGTCCCTCTTCTGAGGAGACACAGAGGATCCCAAAGCCGCCTTTACTGGAAAGCGGGACTAATGGCCGAGCATTTTGAGACCCCACGACCTTTAGGGGCTGCCCCAGAGGTCAGCCTGGCTACATCAGGGATGTTGGGAGCTTTGGACCAGACTCACTCCCAGTAAGATCTGGGTGAGGAGTCCCTCTGAACTGAAGCTGGTACTGTCCTCTGGGATGATGGGAGATCAGTCAGGTTTGAGAATCACAAGGGAAAGGAGAAGCACAACAAATGGACTTCCAGCTCATCTTTCTTCAACCCTCCCCACGCGTTCTCTTGCCTGTTTTCCAGCACTTTCACTGGCGTCAGTTCTCTAGTCTTGACCTTGCCTCTTGGATACCTTTCATGTTACCACTAAAGTACCTTCTTTCCAAAATCAAATCTGGTGAGGTTACTCCCATGCCCCACCATGTATATCACCTTTTATGACCATTAGGTAGCACATCATTGCCCTCAAGTCCACGGTCAGAGTTGTAAGCATGTCTGCCCTCCCTCTAGTTCTGCCTCCAGCTGAACTTCCTGCTTTGCTGCTTATTCCACAGAAATAGCAAAGGTTTGTAGTTTTCAAACACACCTCTGCCTTAGCCCATTCTGTTCCCTGCTACCTGGAATGCCTTTCCCTATGTTGTTCACTGGACCAATCTCCATTCATCCTTAAAAGCCTGCTCAAGTGTCACTTCTTCTCTGACACACCTAGCCTGTCAACAGTGCTAATAACTTCCTCCTTTGATAACTTAAAATACACTTCATCATGCCACCGCAGCACACATCATGCTGTATTGTAATTGGCCTGAGGTGGCTGTCTCTTCTGCAAGAACAAGGCCTGTGTCTTACTGTTTTTGCATCCCTGGAGCTCACCGCGTAATATATTTTCAGCTAGCATATGCCATTGTCCCAACCCAGTCCAACCAGAACAACCTGTGTTGGGCATCATGGGGCCTGCAATTCACCTTACTTCAAGAGTCAGCAATATAGTGCATACAGTTGAGGGGTTACCAGTTTTACTCACCTGTGTTTAAAGTCTTGGCTGTTTATTTTTCAGTAGGTATACCCCCTTCACCCCTACATCCTCCTCCCCAAGCCCATCCAGGCTCCAGAGACCCTGAAGGTAAAACTGAGATCAAGAAGTACACCCAACCTTGTTATGAAGAATCCTCTTTTGGGGTAATGATCAATGTTCTCATTTTGGAAAAAAATCAAACCTCGGGTTCTGGTACATTCTGTGCCAACAATTTTAAAAATTCATCTACTTATTTGTTTTAACAATCTCATATAGCTGCCTTACAGTGTAAGGCACTAGTTTACAGTGTAAATTATTGCCACAGAATGTACCAGAACCCGAGGTTTGATTTTTTTCAAAATGAGAACATTGATCCTGACCCCAAAAGAGGATTCTTCGTAACAAGGTTGGGTGTACTTCCTTGATCTCAGTTTTACCTTCAGGGTCTCTGGAGCCTGGATGGACTCGGGGAGGGGGATGTCGGGGTGAAGGGGGATAAAGCAGCTGAGGCTTGGCCCCCAACCCCTCCCTCCAGGGGTCTCTGAAACCCTCCCTCCTCTTG